TCAATACTTTCCTGTTGGCCAAAAAAAAAAAACGCAAAACACATCAAAAACACATCACTTGCCCATTGATCCAAACATGCAGTCTGCTGCGGGAAAAATTAGTCTCTGAGATCCTTTCCAGAAATGCAGCACTGAAAACACAGAGATGTGAATGCGTCCCATAGGAAACCATGACAAATGGACTGTAGTGCGTTTCTGAAAAACGCACTAAAAAACTGTATAGGTGTGAACCAGGCCTAAAGCACTGTGTATTTAATGAAAAGCGAGCGATTGAGGTGTTAAGCGAGCGACCCCCAGTGTGTTCAATCTGTAGAGAGGAAACTGCTCCCTTTATAGCGGATCGCACTGCAGGGAGTATTTGACAGGCAGGTCAGAGGCATTGTATCGCCTCCTTACTGCCAGCTTTAACCCCTTACTAGCACATCGCAACCATGTGCATCGCAAGCAGTTTTGGGGTGCTGGCAAAAGCGACAAGAGGGATCATTCCTACCACAGCCGAAGCATGTGTGCATCCCTAGCCACTGCCTCTGCAGCTAAAGGGTGGGGGGGGGGAGAAGTGGTGAAGGGGCAGTAAACGATGACTCAACCACAGGGTTTTACCGCCCCTCAACCACTAGTGTGGAGGAGCCCTTGGATTGTACACTGAGCAGTAAATCCACAGCTCAGTTTATGTGCCTGCGTGCCAGGATGACTGAATTCCTGCACATGCTGAGGAGTAATGTCATCCTGCACTGGCCAATGAAAAGAGCTGTATCCTGGCACCTGGAAGGCTCCCATGTCAAACGTCTCCATGGCAGATTTGCCAAGTTTCACACAGAATTTCTCGTTTGCTGTTTGTTCTAACTTGCTCTCTATGATGACATCACAGACGTGGTAACGCACGTAGTCAGAACAGCACCAGTTGCACAGCTCCCACTATACACACGATGATGTCTTTCAGCACATTGATTTATGAAGGTCAGTGCTCCCTGTGACTATGCGTGCAGCCTTGTGCTGCCACCTGTTGGCGTGTTACAAAACTAGTCTAGAAACGTTTTGATGCCATCTCATATATACACTGCTCAAAAAAATTAACACTTTTAAATCAGAGTATAGCATCAAGTCAATGAAACTCCTGGAACATTGTCAGTGAAGTATCAGAGGAGGTTGCTCATCAGTTTCAGCTGCTTTGGTGTTAATGAAATTAACAACCGGTGCACTAGATGGGCAACAATGATACGACCCCCAAAACAGGAATGGATTTACAAGTGGAGGCCACTGACATTTTTTACCCTACTCTTCTTTTCTGACTGTTTTTCACTAGTTTTCCATTTGGCTAGGGTCAGTGTCACTACTGGTAGCATGAGGCCGTACCTGGACTCTACAGAGGTTGGCAGTCCAGCTCCTCCAGGATGGGGCATCAATACATGTCATTCCAGAAGGTTTGCGGTGTCTCCCAACAGTCTCAAGAGCATGGAGGAGATTCCGGGAGACAGGCAGTTACTCTAGGAAAGCTGGACAGGGCTGTAGAAGGTCCATAAACCATCAGCAGGACTGGTATCTGCTCCTTTGTGCAAGGAGGAACAGGATGAGCATTGCCAGAGCCCTACAAAATGACCTCCAGCAGGCCACTGGTGTGAATGTCTCTGACCAAACAATCAGAAACAGACTTCATGAGGGTGGCCTGAGGGCCCGACATCCTCTTGTGGGCCCTGTGCTCACTGCCTGACACCATAGAGCTCGATTGGCATTTGCCATTGAACACCAGAATTGGCAGGTCCACCACTGGCACCCTGTGCTTTTCACAGATGAGAGCAGGTTCTCCCTGAGCACATGTGACAGACGCGAAAGGGTCTGGAGAAGCCGTGGAGAACGTTTCGCTGCCTGTAACATCGTTCAGCATGAACATTTTGGTGGTGGGTCAGTGATGGTCTGGGGAGGCATATCCATGGAGGAATGCACAGACTTCTACAGGCTAGACAATGGCACCCTGACTGCCATTAGGTATCGGGATGAAATCCTTGGACCCATTGTCAGACCCTACACTGGTGCAGTGGGTCCTCCTGGGTCATATGACGAGAGTATGCAGGCAGTTCCTGGAGGATGAAGGAATTGATACATGATGCGAATGGTCCCCACGCTCAACTGAATCCAATAGAACCCCTCTGATATCAATGGATGCACCTCAGACTGTCCAGGAGCTCAGTGGTCCTCATCCATGACGTCTCATTAGAGAGTATGGGCCATACAAACTGCTGAGGACCATTCTGAGTTGCAGCAATGAAATTTCAGCAAAAATGGACTAGTCTGCTGCAATCATTTTTTCACTTTGATTTTTGGGATGTCTTTGATTCAGTCCTCTGTAGGTCAATTGAATTTCCATCCATCGAATGGGGCATCCTTAACCCATCCATATCAATATAGATATCCAGCAGGAGACCCATTGAGATCAAAGTGTTCCTTTAATTTTTGAGCAGTGTGTGTGTATATACAGTCAGGAAATTGTTGGCACCCTCCTGAAAATCAAGATTTCACACAAAAAAGGTATTGCATTAACACATGTTTTGCCACATGTTTATTCCCTTTGTATGTATTGGAACAAATATAAAACAGAGGCAGAAAGAAAAGCAAATGACATAATGTCACACAAAACCCAAAAATGGGCTGGACAAAAAGTATTGGCACCCTTAACTTAATATTTGGTTGCACACCCTTTGGAAAAACATAACCAGTCGCTTCCTATAACCATCAATAAGCTTCTGACACCTCTCACCCGGAATTTTGGACCACTCTTCCTTTGCAAACAGCTCCAGGTCTCTCTTATTGGAAGGACACCTTTTCCCAACAGCAATTTTAAGATCTCTCACGGGTGTTCAATGGGATTTAGATCTGGGCTCATTGCTGGCCACTTCAGAACTCTCCATCGCTTCTTTGCCATCCATTTCTGAGTGCTTTTTGACGTATGTTTGGGGTCATTGTCCTGCTGGAAGACCCAGGATCTTGGACGCAAACCCAGCTTTCTGACACTGGGCCCTACAGTGCGACCCAAAATCCTTTGGTAATCCTCAGATTTCATGATGCCTTGCACACAGTCAAGGCACCCAGTGCCAGAGGCAGCAAAACAACCCCAAAACATCATTGAACCTCCACCATATTTTACCGTAGGTACTGTGTTTTGTTCTTTGTAGGCCTCATTCCGTTTTCGGTAAACAGTAGAATGATGTGCTTTACCGAAAAGCTCTATCTTGGTCTCATCTGTCCACAAGACGTTTTCCCAGAAGGCTTTTGGCTTACTCAAGTACATTTTGGCAAACTGTAGTCTTGCTTTTTTATGTCTCTGTGTCAGCAGTGGGGTCCTCCTGGGTCTCCTGCCATAGCGTTTCATTTCATTTAAATGTCGACGGATAGTTCGCGCTGACACTGATGCTCCCTGAGCCTGCAGGACAGCTTGAATGTCTTTGGAACATGTTTGGGGCTGCTTATCCACCATCCGGACTATTCTGCGTTGCAATCTTTCATCAATTTTCCTCATCCGTCCACGACCAGGGAGATTAGGTGCCATGGGTTGCAAACTTTTGATAATGTTGCACTGTGGACCTTCTCTGGAGATGGACTTGTAACCTTGAGATCAATTTTGCCACAATTTTGGTTCTCAGGTCCTTAAGACAGTTCTCGTCTCATCTTTCTGTTGTCCATGCTTAGTGTGGCACAGACAGACACACAATGCAAAGGTTAAGTGAACGTCTCTCCTTTTTATCTGCTTTCAGGTGTGATTTCTATATTGCCCACACCTGTTACTTGCCCCAGGTGAGTTTACAGGAGCATCACATGCTTGTAACATTCTTATTTATCCAGCAGTTGTGAAAGGGAATACTTTTGTCCAGCCCATTTTTGGAGGTTTGTGTGACATTATGTCGAAAGCTTTCTTTCCTCCCTTTTTTTGTTTTGTCCCAATACACACAAAGGGAATAAACATTGTATAGCAAAACATGTTTAATGCAATACGTTTCGTGAGAAATACATGATTTCCTGGAGAAATATCAAGGGTGCCAACAATTTCGGCCATGACTGTATATATATATATATTTTGTAACCCCATTCACACCTGTGAATTCCAGGAATCTGAAGAGACGTGGGGGTGTTTTTTACGCATTCCATAAATGCATGCAAAACACGCTTGCAGTGCAATTATTGTTAATGATACCCCAAATGTGGCTAGCAGATTTATGTTTTGCCAAAATGTGCCTTAAAAAAGCCCCAAAATATTTGTAAAAAGAAATGCTAAAATACGTGTAAAAAAACCACACCAAAATGCATGATAAAAAAATCTGTGCCAAAATGTGTGTTATAAAAGCATCAAAATGTACGCTTAAAAAAAAGCAACAAGATGCACAAAAAAAAAGCCTGCACCAATCTACCTGTTAGAAATAAAAAGTCAGAAGAGCACAGCATGGTCAGTTTTCTATTTGTGCGGGGAACCTAGCCTGCTCTCCTCCAATGATCAAACTTGTCCTGACACCTTACCCCCTACACAGCCATTCATTGGGAAGACCAGTGAGCTGTTGTTTCTCCTCCCCCAGCTCTTTAAGCTCCTTTTGCAGCTGAGAACATAAGGTATATGATCACTTATAAAAGAAAAGGGGAATTTATAATTATTTTTTGTATCTATACACAAATGTTTTGCCTTTTATTTCTATTTTAACCTGGGGGTTCACATATACTTTAAATGTAGTGTTTGAATTGTGTGCTGGTAGTGGTGGAGTGTTTTATTTTGGATTCCAGGTTATGAGTGCAATGTGCTTTCTGCTAAAATGACTTGATACTGTAAATGTCAACACACAGACCATCTGAGCAATGCTTGGACTTCAGGTCTCAGGAAGCTCAAGTCACTTTATATCCTCGTTAGAACAAAATCTGTCTCAACCTTCAGGTCCAGGTCATAGTTTTCGTGTGACTGTGTTGAGGATTGCTGTCCTTTCCTCTGTGGATATGTGCCAACTGTTTGCTTTCCACACCTCTAGGTTTCCGTAACCTGCATGTAAATGACCAAATGACCGTCATACAGTACTCCTGGATGGGCCTTATGATATTTGCTATGGGATGGAGGTCATTCAAAAATGTCAACTCAAGAATGTTGTACTTTGCTCCAGATTTGGTGTTCAATGAGTAAGTTGATTGTTGCATGCTTTGCTCTTCAAGAACATTTTGCTACTAAGTTTTACAACATATTGTTTGTTATCCCTTGTGAACTCTGAGATCCACCAATGCATTGCCTTCAGTTGTCTCCAGAAGAGGTTTACACATTCATCGAGTAGTAGTTAGTCGCATTCAACTGGACTTGTTCTATGATTTTGAAGACATTTTATAGCGTAGCCAAGACACTTTTCCAGTACTAATTAGATATGTGCACATCGGAAATGTTCGTTTCTTTTCAAATGCATTAGTTCATTGAAGAATTTCATCATATTCCTTATGTCGTTATCTCGATTCATTTGTGTTCTATCTTTGACATTCCTTTCATATATTCGTTGGTCTGGGTGGATTAAAAAAAAAAATTTAGTTTTTCCAGAAGATTGCTATATATATTCGACATATTATCGAATCGGACTGATTTGATATTTTCAGAGGCTAATCCAACCCACCAAAAGAAATGGTGTGAGCTGATTGGACAATATCGACTATCATGTGCATCCCAATTGACGATTGAAACAAAATTTTCCTAATCCAAATTATCGAACTAATTATAAAATGTAATCCATTTTCCCATGGACCCGAACTACTAACACATCATTTGTTGTCAGTCAAATGAAACGAATGCATTCGTTAATTTTGTTTAAATTGTTTTTGGATTCGTTGACATTCATTTCTGTGTCCATTCAGAGATTTGGATACATCAGGATCTTCGAAAATGAAATTTTTGTCCGAAAAACAAAACGAAACAAATTTCACGCGTCTAGTTCTAATGATTGTCAGCAAAATACCAAAGTATGCACAGGTAGCATGGAAACCTTAATACATTCACCATTCATTCATTCATTTGACTGATGAGATATCGATTAACCAAGAACACCAACATCGTAATCCAACCCCTTTGAAAGGCGGATGTTATTGTGAAAGTAAAGGATAGAAGGTGTGAAATTTGTGTAACTTCCCTGTTCTAGTTACATAAATCCACCCTTGGTGTCAAGAAGACTTCATGGGTGTTATTCCTTTGATTTACATGGCTGAGGGTGGGAATTGTTGTCAAAATGCTGATGTTAAAACGACAATATAAGTGGAATAGAGATGGTGTTGAAGGCGCCTACCCCTGTTCAATGATGGTTGCTCCAGTTTCATGTAATGGCCTTTTTCATGCCTCTCGTGATCCCGTTGTCCAAAATGTGCACCTCACTGTCTTCAAAAGAATATCACTTTAGGACACACCACAAAATGACCAACACGTATGAAGCCTTTCTGATGCCACTGATGGGATGATGTGGCTAGAACATGGTGGTTCCACAATTTTCACACCTCTCATTCTGTACTTGACTAAGGTATTGCAGATATTATTGCTGCTTTTCACCTTTTCAAACCCCAACCTACTCGTGACCTTCCCAACAACAGATGACACTGACCCGCTTTGGAGTTGAAAAAGGCCATAGCAGCCATTTTATTAAACAAGATTACAGCTTTGTTACCAAAATATATTTTCTTTATATAACTCTCTGAACATTAATCACCTTAATGTTATTATGAAAATTACCTCATTAAAGTCTAGGGTCTTAAAAGGCAACTTGTATATCGACCAACCGGCTGTATGTATCACCAAAACAGACTTCATGGCCCCCAGCCGCAAATACACCGACTTGGGGATAATTTACTATAAGATACCCTTGATACAGCCAACTGACTCTTGAACCATTACTGCCATAAATTTACTAGGGTAGATACACCCATACCTGTGATGGGCCCAACCCACCATTCTCCAAAATTTAAATAGTCACCGGACCCTGAGACCCCTGCCAAAAACTGCTATGACAGAACTCAGAGAAAACAAGCAAACCCCCAAAACACACAGTAACATAACCAAGAAATCCCCCATATAGGAAACTTCCTGAGCACCACCACCATGGAAAGGCAAGAAATAAAACAAAACAAAGTAAGCAGCTCCATAGCTGCCATACATATCGAGGGAGGTCGGGAGAAGCTTGTTCTAATCTGTACAAGCTCTGACTGACTCCAACCACTTTGCCACCGGCGCACTTGCTCCACCTGAGCCACCCAGCCCCTCTAAGCCACACCCGAACTTCCTCCAATCAGCTAAGACACTTTTCAAACACAATCTGCTTTATTAACCCTACGTTGCTCTGGCCTGACATGCAAACCTAGTCATGTCAGGCCTTCCGCCTATGCTGCCCATCTAACTCTAGGCCTTATTCTTTCACAACAACATCTGCCTTTCAAAGTGATTGGAATATGGTGTTGGTTGTATCAGTGTGTAAATAAATTCTGGGGTATTTTCTTGGTATTCATTAGAACTGAAGTAGTGACTGGGATAAGCTATAAATCATTTGGATTTCATGCCATTTTTTCGTATTGGCTGACAGTAGTCACCGGGACCACCAATAGACAAGGTGAATCTCCAACAGACAACAATAAAAGACTACTAAGAGTGCCAGACAAAGTGTCAAAGAGTCCAAAACTTTTAATGATGTTGACTTAAGGCAAAAAAGCATAAAACATCCAAAGCATTTTGGGGAGCTCAAGGATATCAAAGAAGGCATCAGGGCTCAGTGGTTCAGGGGACACAAAAATGACACAGTCGGGTTGCTCTGTGCATGTCCAGATCACTTTTACTAGATAGAAATTAGTCTGCTGAATAAAAATGGAACAAATTGCAGACGTGAGCTTTTTTTAAGCTTTTCATAGCCAGGACGTAAGGGATATGTCCTGTGTAGGAAAGTGACTAATATAGAGTTGCCCCCCTGTTTGTGGCTACAACAGCCTCCAGTCTTCTAAGAAGGGGTTCCACAAGCTTCTGGAGGGTGTCTGTGGGAACTTGTGCCCATTTGTGAGGTCAGGTACTGATGTTGGATGAGACGACTTGGCTGGCAATTGGCTGCCCATCTCATTCAAAAGGTATTCAGTAGGGTTGAGGTCATCTAGGGGCATGAGTATGGCGTTTCCCCCTACCCCACCTGTGACTATAACCACCTCCACTCTTCTGGAAAAGCTTTCCACAAGGTTTTGGAATGTGTCTATGAAAGTGTGTGCCCATTTGAGAGTTAAGTTGTTAGACAAGAAAACTCGATAACAATTTCAAGTTCAAATTCATCCCAAAGGTGTTGAATAGGGTTAAGGTCAGGGTTCTGTGCAGGAAACCAGAGTTCCTCCTCCACACCAAACTAGTCAAACCGTGACTTTATGGAGATCACTTTGTGCAAAGGGGTACAGTTATGATGGAACAGAAAAGGGGTCTTCCCCAAACTCTTACCACAGGGGTCTAAGAGCACAATTGTCTAAAATGTCTTTGTAATCTGTACTATCATTAGTACCCTTCACTAAAATTGACAATATGTATTCGCAATGATTAAAGTATGATTCAATATGAACAGTCTGTGCAGTTGTAAAAGTGCCAAGTGACTGGTAGACTCAATGGTGGTGCTCCATGATTAATAGCTGAATTGCGCACTCACCAGAAGTATAATAGTAATACACGTTATATATTATTATATCCAAAAGTATCCTCATCAGGTAAAGGTGTGGTCAAATTTGGTAGTCCTCCCTCAGGGTGGTCATCATCAGGTGCCCAGAAGTCAGGATTAATCAGATCCAGATAGCCAGAGGTCCCTGTTTGGGGGATGGGTGGAGCTGTCTACTAACAGGAAGTCTTCCTCCTCTTGGCAAGGGCTTTGTGAATAAATACTCCTAGGTGAGCTGTTCATTGAATTCGGGCTGACAGTGCCAGTTTCACCACACTCTCCGATCTCCCCTCTCTTCCTCTGACAGAAAAGGAAGAGGGACCTCTGGCTATCTGGATCCCATTAATCCTGACTTCTGGATATAATAATATATAACTATATTATTATTATACTTCTGGTGAGTGCTCAATTCAGCTATTAATCACGGAGCACCACCATTGTCAGTTTTAGCGCTGCACTATTTATTATTAATGGCAAAAATATATTTATAGGGCATAAAAATACATATAATCGATGATGTGATAATTCACCTCATGTGTTTACATGCATTTAGGTGCATTTGGTTTAGCTGCCTTTAGAGAAAATAGAATTCTGTGCGTCCAGGGGCAGTTTAGATACTCTGAACATGTCTACGTAAACACACATACATTTAAATGTGGGAGAACTTGGTCTGCAAAACATAAAGTTTGGATTTCCCAGATAATTTCTCTTGCATTTAAATAAACCAATTACAGAAGGCTAGTGTGAATGTAGCCTTGGAGATGTGCTTTGATTGGCATTCGTCCATAACAGAAGGGTTGGGGAGGTCGCTAATCTTATGAATCTTTAGTTGGGTTACTGTTTGTTTTTTTGGCCTCATGCACACAGAAGCCTGGGGCCATACAGTGTAAAATGCTGGAGTATCTCCCTGCCTGGGAGCCACAGGTTCTGCATGCAACTGCCCATAGAAATCAATGGCTGTGTGCTGGTATTTCCATAAACGTACATCCAAACATATGTATAACCCTGGGTTACACGTCTGCATGCATGTGTGTATCTAAGTACTGGTGTGTACAGTTCCTACATACAGCCATTGATATCTATGGACGGCTGTATGTAGCACATGTGGCTCCTAGGCTGGGAAATGTGGTTTTTGGCCAGGTATGTGAGCAATTGACAAGTTCATCGACTGGTCAGAAAGTAGGAGTAGAACCGGCATGTCTTAGATCATTTCCGGCACATTAGTTTACAGTGTGCACCTTATGACCCTACAGGGTCCTTCAAGAGTATCATGCAGCACCTGTGGGCTTTCAGTTCCATATTAGGAATATATATATTAAGAAATGCTTACTGTCTGACCTCAGAAATGGAGAATAGTGGGAGAAAACAATGCCAGGAGGATTATTTGTTTTCTTTCTATAATTGGTAAATGCAGTATACTAGCCTTTCTCAACCAGGGCTGCTCCAAAGGTTGGTAGGGGTTCCTTGAGCAATGAGCAGTTTCTGACTCTCAAATATACAGTGGATAGAAAAAGTCTACAAACCCCTGTTAAAATGTCAGGTTTCTGTGATGTAAAAAAATGAGACAAAGATAAATCATTTCAGAACTTTTTCCACCTTTAATGTGACCTATAAACTGTACAACTCAGTTGAACAACAAACTGAAATCTTTTAGGGGAAGTAAAAATAAAAAACTAAAATAATGTGGTTGCATAAGTGTGCACACCCTCTTATAACTGGGGATGTAGCTGTGTTCAGAATTAAGCAATCACATTCAGAATCTTGTTAAATAGGAGTCAGTACACACCTGCCATCATTTAAAGTGCCTCTGATTAACCCCAAATAAAGTTCAGCTGTCCTAGTAGGTCTTTCTTGACATTTTCTTAGTCGCATCAGTGGTTCATATAGTGAACTTGGTGTAGAGTTATTCACCCTGAGGTCATCACAGAGGACAAGGGGGCACTCCTTACGTCTGGAGGAAAAGAAATTTAATCTCCAAATACGGAAAGGTTTCTTCACAGTGAGAGCTGTAAAAATGTGGAATAGACTCCCTCAAGAGTTGGTTCTGGCCAGCTCAGTGGATTGCTTTAAAAAAGGCCTGGATTCTTTCTTAGATACACAGAATATAACTGGATACTAACATTTATAGGTAAAGTTGATCCAGGGAATATCCAATTGCCTCTCGGGGAATCAGGAAGGAATTGTTTCCCTTGCAGGAGCAAATTGGATCACGCTTTGCTGATTTTTTTGCCTTCCTCTGAATCAACTGTGGGTATAGGATTATAACTTTTTTTTTTTTTTGGGTTGAACTGGATGGACTTTTGTCTTTCTTCAGTCAGACTGACTATGTAACTATGCATCCTACAGCAAAAGCCATGGTCTGCGGAGAGCTTCCAAAGCATCGATCTCATTGTTAAAAGGTATCAGTCAGGAGAAGGATACAAAAGAATTTTCAAGGCATTAGATATACCATGGAACACAGTGAAGACAGTCATCAAGTGGAGGAAATATGGCGCAACAGTGACATTACCAAGAACTAGACGTCCCTCGAAAATTGATGAAAAGACAAGAGGAAAACTTGTCTTGGAGGCTGCCAAGAGGCCTACAGCAACATTAAAGGAGCTGCAGGAATATCTGGCAAGTACTGGCTGTGTGATACATATGACAACCATCTCCCGTATTCTTCATATGTCTGGGCTATGGGGTAGAGTGGCAAGACAGAAGTCTTTTCTTACAAAGAAAAACATCCAAGCCCGGCTAAATTTTGCAAAAACACATCTGAAGTCTCCCAAAAGCATGTGGGAAAATGTGTTCTGCTCTGATGAAACCAAGGTTGAACAATACTGCACATCACTAGAAGAACACCATATGCACAGTGAAGCATGGTGGTGGCAGCATCATGCTTTGGGGCTGTTTTTCTTCAGCTGGAACTGGGGCCTTAGTCAAGGTAGAGGGAATTATGAACAGTTCCAAATACCAGTCAATATTGGCACAAAACCTTGAGGCTTCTGCTAGAAAGCTGAACATGAAGAGGAACTTCATCTTTCAGCATGACAACAACCCAAAGTATACATCCAAATCAACCAAGGAATGGCTTCATCGGAAGAAGATGAAAGTTTTGGAATGGCCCAGCCAGAGCCCAGACCTGAATCTGATCAAAAATCTATGGGGTGATCTGAAGAGGGCTGAGCACAGGAGATGCCCTCGCAATCTGACAGATTTGGAGTGTTTTTGCAAGGAAGATTGGGCAAATATTGCCAAGTCAAGATGTCCCATGCTGATAGACTCATCCCCAAAAAGACTGGTGCTTCAAAGTATAAGTTTAAGGGTGTGCACACTTATGCAACTATATTAGTTTAGTTTTTTATTTTTACTTCCCTCCACCTTAAAGATTTCAGTTTGTTGTTCAACTGAATTGTACAGTTTCTAGGTCACATTAAAGGTGCAAACAGTTCTGAAATTATTTATCTTTGTCTCATTTGTTTACATCATAGAAACCTGACATTTTAACAGGCATGTGTAGACTTTTTATATCCACTGTATAATCAATGACAGTCAATGTAAGGAACACTCTTCCCACTGACCACCAATGTAAGGAGCATTGTTCTCACTGACCACCAATGTAAGAATTACTCTTCCCACTGACCACCAATGTCGGGAGCATTCTTCTCACTGACCACAAATATAAGAATCATTCTTCCCACTGACCACCAATGTAAGAATCATTCTTCCCACTGCCCCCCAACGGTGGGGCACATTTTCTCCCAATGACACCAATGATAAATTATTGTTTACTGTTACAGATGCCAGGACTTTTTTATTCCCAAAGGCCACAGTCCAGCTCCCCTAAAGTCTAAGTGACAATAGAGTGGTCCTTTGTTTAGAAAGTTTGCAGACCCTTAAAAAATCTTGTTACTGGATAAATTATATAGTCAAACGTTTGCAGAAACCCGACTGTCACCACACTTTGAGCTTATGGACATTTCATTCCAGAACCATGAGCATAAAATCAAGTACACGGTCATGCAATTATCATATAAAGACATATTAGGCAACGGTGCATTTCCAGTGTTATGATAACAGCTAGGGGAACACATTTTCTGTTCCACCATGACTGTGCCCCTGTGTACTAAGCCAGTTGTTAATGTGGACAATGTGAGTGGTCTGCACAGAACCCTAACCTCAACCCTACTGAACACCTTTGGGATGATTCAAAATGTTGGTTGTGAACTAGGTCTTCTCTCTTGGTTTTCTAAAGACAAGCTTCACAATCTTATGGAAAACCTTACCAGAAGAAGAAGGCCCTTTTCTGTTCCAGGATGACGGTTTCCCTGTGCACCAAGCCAGCAACATAAGGAGACCAGTTTGGTTTTGAGGAACCCAAGTGGCACGCACAGACCTCTTCCCTACTGAATACCTTTGGGATAAATTGGAAGGCCAATTGTGAGCCAGGTCTTCTCATCCAACATCAGTACCTGACCTCATAAAAGCTCTTTTGACCTAATGGACAACACTTCCCACAGAACAACAAATAATGGAGGGCTCCCAACCCTGTGGAAGTCAATAGAGTCACAAGCCCAGGAAGAGTTCAAATAAAAATGCACTTTAATGTTGGGTAAAAAGCATGACATGTAGGGATGCCAGATTGATACATCACCAAGCCAGTGGAGAGGATAAACACATATGCCCAGAAGCTGGATGATGACACATGATCCTGAACCCAACAGTAGGTTGCTCAGCCCAGGAGCATCAGGACAGTGGGAAGGGTGTGTGGATGGCAGCTGCTGGGATCACTGAAATGGCGCGTCCGCCGGAAGTCACATAATCTGAGGAAGGGGCAAGTCCCCGAAACAAGTTATAATGATGACCCGCTTCTCTCCTTTGGTTTGACATGGTTTGAGTGCTCCCCTAGGCTTCCAAATTGCCATCACCAGCCCTGTCTCTCGCCAGGTGTATGACATAACAACCAGATCTGGGGCACATGACCTCCGGGGGATGTACCATCTTAGCTATTCCAGCAGCTGCCATCCAAACACCCTTCCCACTGTTCTGAGGCTCCTGGGCTGAGCAACCTACTGTTGGCTCTAGGATTATGTGTCATCCTCCAGCGTCTGGGAATATGCCTTTCTCCTCTCCATTGGTTTGGTGATGTATCCATCTGGGCACTCCTACATGTCATGCTTTTTAACTCAGCACTAAAGTGAATTTTGATGTTAACTGTTCCTGGGTTTGTGACTCTATTGACTTCCACAGGATTGGTAGCGCTCCTTTATTTGTTGTTTTGTGCTTATGTCTCATTGCTGGTTGGATGAGTTGTTGGAGCTGCCTATACTGTAGTTATCTACATATCCCCTGGAACCTCATTGCGCTTGGTATTTGCACCTTTGCACGAATTCCCACTGGCACCTTCCAAAATCCTGTGGAAAGCGTTTCCAGAAATGTAGAAGCCACAAAGTGGGAGGTGGGGGTGGAGTTTGGTGAGAGTATCCCCACATTAATGCCCAGACAGCATAGAGCATTTTTATTATCATCTTATTGCAAACATGATATTTAAAGTACAAAATTGACCTTCTCTAATTTAATAGGTATCGCATGCACAAATCACGTATGTACAGCCAATGTGTTCGAATGCGTCACCTCTCCCAAGAATTTGGATGGTTACAGATCACACCAGAGGAATTCCTGTGTATGAAGGCCCTTCTGCTGTTCAGCATTAGTAAGTAATGAAACATTGCTTTAGAGTATGTGCTATAACACAACACATTACATTGTGTTTAGGCGCACTGCGTTAAGGCAGACTATTTCGTTTGAGTAGACTTGCAACACATGGAAAATTGGAGATTCACTTCTTCTTAAGGCAGTATATTGAAATGTACAGATAGTGTGCAACTATGTTGCGCTGAACTGCCTAAGTGCATGGTGGTGAAAATAAAGGAGCAAAGAACTGTACTGTGTTGCAGGAGTTCCTGTCATTTGTATCTAGTATAAAGGCATGCAATAGACTGAATGGGGAGTGCTTAGCACAGAGTGACACCACTGCTGCAGAGAGTTTCACTGAGGCAGGGGTGTCAGCCTATAGCAAGAAGTCCATCAGGAGGCTCTTACTAGCAGACAAAGCTATTCTCCATGAAAATGGAAGGTCCACTTAAACAACAGCCCCACACCACCTCTATGAGAGAAGGTACCAAAGCAAAAGAGTGCAAAAATAGAGTTTTTTTAAGAAACATAAAAAAACAAAAAAACTTAGCTATACTCCAGCTTTCAAAACTTCCAGGAGGTGTAGGTGATGTCACCATGCCCCATGCTGATACTTGTGCTCCTGTACCGTGCTTTTGATGCTTGGTGGGCCTTTCCATGATGCCCTAGATGCAATCCAACCATCCATTGGATCTCCCTATCCTTTATGAAAGTTGAATTTTTATTGTCTGTTTTTCCCAGTTCTATAAAAGAGTCTAAAAGGGACCTCTTTTTTTTTTTCTAGTGGCTGCTAGATCGTTTACTCCAAAACAGGGGTCTCCAAACTATGGCTCGGGGGCCAGATGCGGCCCTTAGCTCGCCTTTATCCAGCCCTTGGGGCACCATTCCATCCACTGATTCCAACAGAGCATTAGTCTTCCCTCTGATACAAATGATGGGGCACTATTCATCCCACTGATATGAATGATGGGGCACTATTCCTCCCACTGATACCAACAATGGGGCACTATTCATCCCACTGATACCAACGGTGGGACATTATTCCTCCCACTGATGCTAATGGTGGGCCACTATTCCTCCTACTGACATCAACAATGGGGCACTATTCCTCCCACTGATACTAATGATGGAGAACTATTTCTCCCATTGACATCAATGATGGGACACTATTCCTCCCACTGATACAAACGATGGGTCAATATTCCTCCCACTGATACCAATGATGGGTCACTATTCCTCCCACTGACACCAACAATGGGGCACTATTCATCCCACTGATATGAATGATGGGGCACTATTCCTCCCACTGATACCAACAATGGGGCACTATTCATCCCACTGATGCCAACGGTGGGACATTATTCCTCCCACTGACACCAATGATGGGGCACTATTCCTCCCACTGACACCAATGATGGGGCACTATTCCTCCCACTGATACCAATGATGGGGCACTATTCCTCCCACTGACACCAATGATGGGGCACTATTCCTCCCACTGATGCTAATGATGGGACACTATTCCTCCTACTGACATCAACAATGGGGCACTATTCTTCCCACTGATACTAATGATGGAGAACTATTTCTCCCATTGACATCAATGATGGGACACTAGTCCTCCCACTGATACAAACGATGGGGCACTATTCCTCCCACTGATACCAATGATGGGGCACTATTCCTCCCACTGACACCAATGATGGGGCACTATTCCTCCTATAATACAAAAAATTAGACATGTTCTACTCCCATTGGCCACAGTCGGGCTCTTCCAATGTCTGAAGGACAGTAAACCGGCCCTTTGTTTAGCAAGTTTGGAGACCCCTGCTCCAAAACATTGGAAATGGTCTTCCCCATTAAACTTGAGGGAACGGGTAGATGACATACAGCATGCAGGATGGAAGAATTAACTGCCATCTTACATAATAATTATGCCAAAATTTTGGAAGTGTGGTATCCTTGGAGATATTTCCATAGTAATCTTATTGGATGGTGTCTTGGTAAGAAGGGTAAAAATTTGATGATGTAGAAAGTGAATAGGTATACAATGTGTGTAGAATAGATGTTTAACCACTTCCTGTCCGGCCCATGTCTATAAACGGCCGCACAGGAGGACTACCGAAGAGGGTTGACGTTTCTAAACATCACCCGCATTCACTGCCTGTGTGCGCTCCCTCCGGACACAGCGGAACACTGATCGCTGTACAGGACCTCTATGTGAGGTACCGATTCATGTGATCACTGATTGGCCAATCAGTGATCACATGAATAGTAGTAAACAAGATGTCACTTCCTGACATCATTGCTTACTACTAGTGAAATCTGTGAATGATCACACAGGTCACATGGTACAAGGATATTCACAACAGCCTTGTACCACGTGACAAGCTGTGACCAATCACAGCTCTCACAGTATTTCTCAATGGCTGTAAGAATGTAGGCAGAGAGAAATAGAAATTATTGCTTTTACAGCCTTTATGGGTGTAAAAGCAATCAGTGTAAAAAAAGAAAAAAAAAATATTAATCACCCCACAAGTAGTACAGTGTCACCACGGTGCTAGGGTAACAGTATGTAAAAAAAAAAACAAATAATAATATAAAAACCATAAAACAAAAAATGTTAAAACATTTTTGAAAAATTATTTTTGGTTATAAACTAATTTGGTTTATTTTTTATTTTACTAAAAAGATAGCTGAATACATTTTGGGCAAAATTTATGAAGAAAGATTATTTGCAAAATGTTATAAGAAAAACAATTTTTTTAGACTTTTTTATTTATATAGCAAAAAAATAAAAATCCCAGTGATGAATAAACACCACCAAAATAAAGTTTTATCTGTCTCAAAAAAATGCTAAAAAATGTATATGGGTACAGTGTTGCATGACTGCGCAATTGTCATTCAAAGTGTGATAGCACTGAAAGCTGAAAATTGGCCTGGGCAGGAAGGGGGTGAAAGTGTCCAAACCAGGGGCGGACTGACCATTTGAATGAGGGCCTGGGGTCAGTAGGGGGCCCCATGAGATGCCCCTGGTACCTTTTTCATAGGCTTTTTTGGGTGTGGTTTGAGTGTGGGTGAGGACACAGGGGCCCCATAATCCCCTATTGCCGGGGGCCCCATGAGTTGTCAGTCTGCCCCTGGTGCAGACTTGAAGTGGAATTATGAAAGATTTGTTGAAACTTAATAAAAATCATAAGTGGAAATTCAGTCTGTTGGGGTGATGTACAGTAGATAGCCACATCCCACACATAAAACCATGGGCTGTCAGATCTCCATGAAGAAGAGTCTTTAAGAAGTTTGAAAGAGAAGGAGCACCACACCAATGGATGATAATCCACATATGTAATTCATTTAAAAAATCCAAAAAGACAAACCTGTGCTTTTTGGTGGTTATAAAAGACTCCATTCATCAATTTCGTAGAACGTTAGCTTTCCTTTTCTAATTTTTATGATGGAATAATTATATTTGGGCTGTAAACCAATGGCGTGGTGTTCCTTGGGTTTCTAAAATTGGCAAATAATACACAAGAAAATACTACATGTAATATTTGTGTAATATTTGTGATTTCATGCGAATATTAAATTTGATGTGCCATAATGGTGTGACTGTTAGTATAGCTTATTTCACTTACTGCATAACGTGCTTCACTTGTTTCCAGTTCCTGTGGAAGGTCTGAAAGATCAGAAGTGCTTTGACGAGCTTCGGATGAACTACATTAAGGAATTAGACCGTGTCATATCCTGCAAAAGGAACAACCCAAATGCCAGCTCACGGCGGTTTTCCCAACTTACCAAACTCCTGGATTCAGTGCAGCCAGTGAGTGACTGAAATCACTTCTCGGTTCTGTTTTAAAATCCTGATTCATCTTTGTTTATGCTATAGTGATATCAAGAAATGTGTCACGGTCAGAGGTCAGGTTCAGAGACCAGTAGCTATAGCAGCAGACCAACCAACAGGATAGGTAAACAAGCAGGTCACCCTGGCTGATGACGCAGGATCACCGGAGGTGCGGGGTTTAAGTACTAACTGGTATTCACCAAAGCTCCTGATGGTGGAGATGGGTTTTGCTGCGTGTTAGTACCAGGTCGCAGTTCTCAGGATCGCCCCACCAGGAAGTAGGAATCTAGCAGAAGCGTAGTCAGTAAACAAGCCAAGGGTCAGTAACAAGTGGTAGCAGGTTGGGATGAGGCAGAATCATAGTCAAGGAACAAGCCAAAGGTCGGTAGTGAAGGTATGGACGGCAGCAGGAGAGACAAGAGCGAGATACTGGCTGGAGGAGGCACAATAATCTGGCAACCAGGAAGTGCAGAGACATGGCTTAAATCAGGAAGTTCATGGAAGGAGCAAGGAGTTCAAGGTTCATCAGAAAACAAGGCACAAGGCAGGATTGTCCACTAGATCAGGCAGAATGTTGTCCAGCTTCCCAAATAGCTCAGTGAGAAGAGTTACTGCCTGACACAGTAGAGGTCCCAGGTTCAAGTCCAGGCCCTGACAAAATGATTGTTACTAAGGATGAGATATGGTTCGGGCCAAACTCAGTATGGCACAAACCCACACTATCACATATTAGCTGGGACCCTAGCCTAATCAGCTGTGGCCATGGAAATACCCACTGGTGACATCATTGACCTAATTTGGCCAAGTGGCCATATTAAGTCAATAACATTATCCAAATATGGCAATATAGGCATACACTTACCGGCCACTTTATTAGGTACACCTTGCTAGTTTAGGGTTGGACCCCCTTTTGCCTTCAGAACTGCCTTAATTCTTCATGGCATAGATTCAACAAGGTGCTGTAAACATTCTTCAGAGATTGTGGTCCGTATTGACATGATAGCATGCCTTTCTGTCATCTCGAACCAGTCTGCCCATTCTCCTCTGACATCAAGGCATTTTCCTCCACACAACTGCCCCTCACTGGATATTTTCTGTTTTTTGGACCATTCTCTGTAAACCCTAGAGATGGTTGTGCATGAAAATCCCAGTAGATCAGCAATTTTTGAAAAACTCAGGCAGCCCATTTAGTACCAACAACCATGCCATGTTCAAAGTCACTGAAATCCCCTTTCTTCCCCATTCTGATGCTCGGTTTGAATGTCAGCAATTTGTCTTTACCACGTCTAGATGCCTAAATGCATTGAGTTTCTGCCATGTGATTGGCTGATTAGCAATTTGTATTACCAAGCAAATGAACAGGTGTACCTAATAAAGTGGCCGGTGAGTGTATTAAGTTGATGATGTCATCGGCATTCCTGCCCCTTTGTTTGGTGTGGCTATGAGGCAGCGAATTCCACGGCCACAGCTGAGTGGACCAGTGGCCAGTGATATGACCAGTTTCTTGCATGGTCAGGCTCAAATGAGTTCAGCCCAAACTTTAGCTAATCCCTAATTATTACCCAGAACAGCACAGATATACTATATGGCCAAATGTTTGAGGTCACCTGACCATCACACCTATGAGATTGCTGGACAACTGATTTTAAAACCATGGACATTAACCAGTTCAGAGCAATTCCAGAGCAATTTTTTTCTATTAAAATAACTTAAACCCCCAGAACATTATATCTTTTCTGAAAGCAGAGGCCCTAGAAAATAAAAAGGTGATAGTTGCAAATGTTTATGTCACATGATATTTGCGCAGCTGTTTAATAAACGCACCTTTTCAGGAAATAATATAGTAAAATTAATTTTAATGCAAAAACACACACTATAATGCCCTTTTTGGGGAAAATATAAAAGATGAAGTTGCATGGAGTAAATAGACCTAACATTCCATGTCTTAAAATTGCGTGCGCCTGCGATATATCTACAAAAACTACAGTGCACAAAAATCACCGTAGGTGATGTTTTAAAAGCATTTACAGCTCATCAGCTTAGAGTTAACTAGGGGCTCTTGTACTAGAATTATTATTCTCACTCTGACGTTCACGACAATATGTCACATGTGTGGTGCAACTGCAGTTTACATAAGTGTACACACCTTGGGCTTACGTTTCCGCAGGTGTGTGGGGCAATAGGGGTTGCGGCAATTTTTTAATTATTATTTTAACTTTTTTTTTTCATTTTAAAAAACCTTTTTCTTTTAATTTTGTATTTATTTTTACTTTATTGCTGTTACAAGAGATTAATAAACCCCCATGTGATAGCATCGGGCAAGTGACAGATATTCTTCATTTATTTATTTCAGGTACTTATATAGCGCCGTCTAACCACAAAAAAAAAAAAAACCCCTGAATGAATCGATGTCATTCAGGTAAATGCTTGCTTATAGCAAAGTAATTCTTTGCTATAAGCAAATTTGTGTAAAAAAAAAAAATACCGATCACTACCCCAAAGTAGTACAATGTTACTATGGGAACATTGTACTACTTTGGTCATAGTGAAATATGAAAAAAAATCTTAAAAAAAAGAAAAAAAAGTAATAAAAAATTAAAAATAATTAAAAAAAAAATATATTTTTTTTTCATACTGTCACCAGTCAGTGTCCCTGATCACCGCCATGCCAGTTATATGATGATGCTGTACTGCACTGGGGTGACAGTATGTAAAAAAAAAAAAATAGTGAAAATATTTTTTTTCATTTTCTCATTTTACGAAAAATTATGACAAAAAAAAATACAACTTCAAAAAACTCGCCATTCCTCTTATGAAATACGTCGGACTGTCTACTTTGCAAAAAGGGGTCATTTGGGGGATATCTGTACTGTCCTGACATTCTTGGACCTCAAGTAATTAGATTGGCTGTCAGTACTTCAGGACTGATCAATATTCAGATCTATACCATAGTTTGTGAACTCTATAACTTTCCTACAAACTACAAAATACATCCTAATTTGGGTTATTTTCACCAAAGACATGTAGCAGAATACATCTCGGCCTAAATTTTTGAAGAACAATTATTTATTTGCAAACTTTTATAACAGAAACAAAGAAAACATGTTTTTTTTTTTTTTTTCAAACTTTTCAGTCTTTTTTTGTTAATTTAGCAAAAAAACAAAAACCCCGGCGGTGATTAAATACCACCAAAAGAAAGTTCTAGTTGTGTGAATGATAAAATTTTAGTTTGGGTACAATGTTGTATGACCGCGCAATTGTCATTCAAAGTGTGAGAGCGCTGAAACCTGAAAAATGGCCTGGGCAGGAAGGGGGGTAAAAGTGCCTGGTATGGAAGTGGTTAAGGGTCTAATAGACCCCAGTGTCTCCCATGCTCTTCACAACAAATAAAGCACAGATCATCTTGATTAGATGTGCCCCCTGGCTGTATTAGCCAGGAAATAGTGCATCTGAAACTGGAAGTGACATCACTTCTGGTTTCATTGTTTACATATGAGATCAAGGCCAGGTGGTTGTGTTCCTGGGCACCGGAAAAAGCGGGAGAGCCAAGGAACCATGGGAGAAGAGCTGTCCGCCAGTAGGAAGAGGGGCGCTGCTGGCTCTGTGAAAGTGTTCGGCAGCTATGGAGCTGTTTCATCACTTTCCCTTTTAATACGGGAGCTGGCTAAAAAAAAAACGGCACAAGCTGATGGCTGCTACTGTCATCAGTTTGTGATTAAAGGTTCACTCTTTGGACGTATGTACTGAAGAGCTGAACTGGTTAATATGTTCACCTAAACCAGCTTCCATTCTTCTGAGAAGGCTTTCTATAGAATTTTGGAGTGTGTCTGAGGGAATTTGCGAGGTTATGTACTCATGTTGGATGTTGATCTTGAGACCTGTCTCAGCATTGGCATTCCAGTTCATCCCAAAGGTTTTTTCTTTTTCTTTTTTTTTTTTTGGAACTCCTCGGCACAATGATTTGTTGAAAACTCTGTGAACAAAAAAAGTGAACCACAGCACACAAAAAAAGTGCACAGTATGGCCAATCCTTCGAAGAGAAGGGCTTCAAAACCTGAACCTCCTGGGGTGCAAGGCTCCAGATAGAGGCAAGGTACACTATGGTCTACCTAGGATGAAGCTGGTCCACCAAGTGTTCAGTAGGTTGAGGTCAGGGCTTTGTTACTCAACACCAAACTGGTCAAACCATGTCTTAATGGAGCTGATCTTGTACACAGCGGCACAGTCATGGTAAAGCAGAGAAGGGCTTTCCCCAAACTGTTGCCGCAATGTAGAAAGAGCACAATAGTCAGTACACTTCCTTGGGAAACACATGAACTTCATAATTTGGAGGAGTGTCCCCATCATGTCCATTTATGTTGGTGCAATGGTCAGAAGCCACTTTGGCTATGCAGTGTAAAAAAATAAATAAATAACCATGACCATGGCTTTAAGCAGAATGTTGCACTATGCGAACACATTGCTCCTTTCATCTGAGCTATGTGTCTGCAATATTGCTGTCAGATGGAGGGTGTTGTCATTTATTTTTACAGTTTTCATCAAAGATATCAATCACCAGGCATGCCTCTACCATGACCTTTAATGCAGTTTCATGCAGCATCTTAAAATCACTGTGTATATATAGCCATACAGTAACTCATTATTTACAGTGGGGAAAATAATTATTTGATACTCTGCAGATTTTGTACATTTGCCCGTTTACAAAGAATTGAAGGGTCTATCATTTTTATCATAGGTATTTTAAATGATAGAGACAGAATATTAACCAACAATCCAGAAAAAAAAAAAACACATGATACAAATGTAATACATTGAGTTGCAGTTCAGTAAGTAAATTAAACATGACTTAGTACTTTGTGGAGAAATCCTTGTTGGCAAGCACAGAGGTCAGACGTTTCTTGTAGCTGGTTACCAGGTTTGCACACATCTCAGGAGGAATTTTGGTCCACACCTCTTTAGAGATATTCTCTAAATCCTTAAGGTTTCTTGGCTGTCACTTGGCAACTCGAAGTTTCAGCTCCCTCCATAAATTTTCCAAAGGATTAAGGTTTGAAAACTGGCTGCGCCACTCCATGACATTAATGTGCTTCTTTTGAGCCACTCTTTGCCTTGGTGGTATGTCATGGTCATGCTGGAAAACCAATCCACGACCCATCTTCAGTGTTCTGGCTGAGGGAAGAAGGTTCTCATCTAAGATTTTACAAAATATGGCCCCGTCCATTGGCCCCTCAATGCAGAAAAGTCAGCCTGTACCTTTAGCAGAGAAACAGCCCCAAAGCATAATGTTTCCACTTCCATGCTTGACTGTAGAGATGGTGTTCTTAGGGTCATAGTCAGAATTTTTCTTCTTCCAAACATAGCGAGTCAAGTTAATTCCAAAGAGCTCAATTTTAGTCTCATATGACCACAGCACTTTCACCCAATCCTTTTCTGAATTATTTAGATGTTCATTAGCAAACTTCAGATGGGTCTGTACGCGTGCCTTCTTGAGGAGGGTAACCTTGTTGCAGTATTTCAATCCATGGCGGCGTATTGTGTTACCAATGGTTTGCTTGGTGACTGTGGTCCCAACTGCCTTGAGATCATTCAAAAGCCGCTCCTGTGTAGTTCTGGGCTGATCCCTCACTTTTCTCATGATCATCCTTACCCCATGAGGTGAAATCTTGCAATGTGCTCCAGACAAAGGGCGATTGATGGGTATTTTGTATTTCTTCCATTTGCGAATAATCGCTCCAATAGTTGTCTCCTTCTCACCAAGCTTTTTGCTGATGATCTTGTAGCCCATTCCAGCCTTGTGCAGGTCTACAATCTTGTCCCTGATGCCCTTTGACAGTTCTCTGGTCTTGCCCATGGTGGTGAGGTTTGAATGGAAGAAAGAGATTCTGTGGACAGGTGTCTTTTATACACATAACGAGTTGTCATTAGGAGCACCTTCTTAAATTGACAGGACTAATCTGTGTACCACATGAGCACATAGCCAGTCTGTGGGAGCCAGAATTATTGTTAGTTGGTAGGGGATCAAATACTTATTTTACTCACTGAACTGCAACTCAATTTATAACATTTGTATCGTGTGTTTTTTCTGGATTTTTGGTTGATATTCTGTCTCTATCATTTAAACCACACCTATGGTAAAAATGATAGACCCTTAATTTCTTTGTAGGTGGGCAAACTTACAAAATCTGCAGGAGATTAATAATTATTTTTCCACTGTATCTGAATGCAGTTGATTTTCAGAATGTCATCTGTGCATCTTCCTGTGCACGTGTTCAAACTCCAAACATGGTCTTAATAAATCAAAGTTTGCAATATTTATTTTGGCCTGTTTTCCCATGCTAACATAAAACCAAAAAATGGTGAAGCGCTAAGCGAATGCGATAAACCAATAAATCTGTTGGGGAGGACATTCCCATTTTTATATCTTACTTTGTTTTCCCATGCTAACCTTTTTTTTTCTATTGAATCTGGTCCACTAAGATTTTCTTGCTCTGTAGTTGTCCAACACAAGTTTACTATTCACTGTGTTTGTTCTTTATTAAGTTTCATAAATACCTCATACTTTTCTTTTTATACTTCTGTTTTTTTAGATTGCTCGTGAGCTGCACCAGTTTACATTTGACCTATTTGTAAAGGCCCAGATGGTGAGCGTGGATTTTCCTGAGATGATGTCTGAGATCATTTCTGTCCAAGTTCCTAAGATCCTGTCTGGAAGAGTCAAGCCCCTCTACTTCCACAGTTTATGAAGAGCCCTCCGTTGGCCGTTTCCCTTACCCATGCAGTGTGCCTTAAGGGTCACCGTGTACAGATTATGCAAAATGGACTCCGCCTCCAATCTTCACCGTGTCATGTCAGAAAGGCGTGACCGCTTAAAGGCGCATGTTTGTGTGCAGGACGAGCGTCATGCAAACCACAAGCTATACGTGTGCCATGTGACCAACCCACAGGAGGACACACCGGGGTACCATCACGGTTTTTACTAGCAGACTACAGTGCTTTATCGCTTTTGGAGCACTTCAGTTTCAAAATGGGAATTTCTGGGGAAATCTGAGAAATATGGATGTATACACATTATACCAATATGTCCATTTTCATATATGGCAGTTTATACAACAATATGTATCCAATGTAAGAAGTAGTGCTGGGAGAATGTATTGAAAAATAGAAAAAAATGTAAAAAAAAACAAACAAACAAACAATATTCGATACATCTCTGCATTGCGTGCACATTTCCACATGTTTTAATCCTCTAAAACGCTGTAAGTACCAAAAAAAACACCTGGGGATTTAGCCAGAAAGCTTGAAACTTCCTCTGGAGAGCTGACAACCCTGCCTCTGCTGTACTGAAATTGGTGGACTACAGAATACCCCCCCCCCCCCCATTTTATAGAGAGGAGGATCAGAAGAGGCTGTGTAGTCCAGCAATTGAAAACTGGGTGGGGCTGACAACATTGGTAGGGATTTTAGTTCAGCAGAGGCAGCATTGTCAACTCATTAAGGAAGTTAGGAGCTTGCTGGATTTTCAGCAGCCCAATAGCTATTCTTCTGTACTTGTAGCGTTTTTAAAGAGATAAAGCATTGGGTATGTGCATGTATTGTGAAGATGCACTAATTTTTTTTGCCCAGATATATATTTTAAGTATACACGGAACTCTTTACTAAAAGAATGTATTCTCCTGGCTTCGGACCCTAGTCAACGTGGCAAGGACTTCTTTACACTCGGTGTTGCTCTTTGATATATTTAATGTTGATTACGCATTCTTGTGTACCAGCCAGGAGATGTCGGGGCTACATTACAAGCTAAAGGGGTGATTGAGTATTTCAGCCGGCAATGAAACAGCAGTTTGGATACATGACCCTCTGATTGAGGAGCACAGCTGTACTTATAATGCTGACTCCGATGGCGAGGGGAGTAAGGAGATGAGAGGCATTCAAATGACTGCTCATGGCTGCCTTTGGAATAAAATCAACTCCATGAAAATTGCAAAGAAAGGTCTAGTCCAGGTTCTCAATTATCCACCCCGTGAACATATGCCCTTTAGCTCTCTGAGATACTATACTGGACACCTAGGCTTCTATCAGCTTTTATTTCCTAAACATAGCATGTCTTAGTGATATGTTAGGCTTGATATACTAATAGAATCAACATTTTCAGTATTTTATTTGTTCAGCTTAACTTAAACCATGATATCACCAGAGAACGAACCAGAATATTTTGATTGACTGAATGGTAACAAGTATTGTTAACTAATAGTATAACTAGTAGTAGCCACCACATTGTTTACAAAGCAGGAGCTACACTATATGGCAAAAAGATGGACACCTCACCATTACACCTGCATGACCTTTTTTGCTTATCCAAAACTATGGCCATCAATATGGAGTTGTCCCACCTTTGCCTCCATTCTTCTGGGAGGTTTTCCATAAGAATTTGGAGCAGGTCCATGGAAATGTTTGCCCATTCAGCCAGACATTTGCGAGGTCAGGTACTGATGTTGGATGAGACCTCCTGGCTCACAATTGGCATTCCAATTCATCCCAAAGGCATTCAGTAGTGTTGAGGTCAGGGCTCTGTGCAGGCCACTCAACACCAAACTGGACAAACCAGGTCTCATTATGGACCTGGTTTTATACACAGGGGCACACTCACGCTGGAACAGGAAAGCGCCTTCTTCTGGAAAGGCTTTCCACAAGATTTTGGTGTGTGGTTGTGGAAAACAAGAAAAGAAGACCTGGCTCACAACTGGTGTTCCGGTTCATCCCAGTATGGTTAAGGTCAAGGATCTGTACAGACCTCTCAAGTTCCTCTACACCAAACTGGTTAAACAATGCCTCATTGTGGACTGGGTTTTATCCAAATGGGTACAGCTATACTGGAACAGAAAAGGACCTACTTCTTCTTCTGGAAAGGCTTTCCACAAGATTTTGGCATGTGCCTGTGGAAAACAAGCAGAGAAGACTTGGCTTACAGTCCGTGTTCCTGTTCATCCTAGTAGGGTTAGAGGTGATCCCAGTAGTAGTAGAGAGCAAGGCTTTGTACAAACCACTCAAGTTCCTCCACACCAAACTGTTCAAAACCATTTTTGGAGTTGACTTTGTGCAAATGAACTCAACCTTTTGGAGGGGTGTCAACATACTTTTGGCCATATAGTGTATTATCGGGGAACCCTTTCCTTTGAACCTTCACAGATGGTAATTGGTGCTTTTATTAGGGCCAGTGGGGCCAATTTACTAGAAGAATACTTTTGCAGTAGCCTGAATCCATTTCAGGGATTAAAAAAAAATCCGAAAGTATCCATAAATCTGTTTGGGTATTTGAAGTGAACGTAGTCTAGGACTCCAGTAAATCCCAATGGGTAAGACTAATACATCGGCATTAACTTTGGAAAATACTTTAACTTGTGATGTTGATATCTTCAATGCCATTATGTGTTTTACAGATTTTTCACTGGTGGTTAGGCACCCTTGTTTTAAAGAGCCCTAAAACAGAACTAAAATAGGGAGTCTGTATTATATTGGACAGGAGATGACTTTCATCCTACATAGTTGGTACAGCAATGTTGTTACTGCACACACAGCTTGATTAATGAAATGTGCATTGGGTTCCCACACACATTTCTTGTGCACTTCTGTTCTTCTACCTCTAAAAATGAAAGGTTCCCCTAAATGGCTAAAAGCTGAACTCCAGGCACATATTTAAAAAAAATACAATACATTAAAATAATGAAATGCATTTTAAATGCAGCTTTTTGGGAGTAGCTTTATTTTGGTTTGAGCTCTGTGTAATCCCTTGAGCTTGAGAGCTCACACTGGCAGGACTAGGAACGAACAAGAAGCCAAACACACATTTTGCTACAATTGCCATTTGACAATTGCGGCAAAATCACGCCACAGGTGGGGTGCCATTTAGAATGAATGGCACCCAAACGCTCATCACACGTTTTGCAGCAATTGCCATACGATTTGGAATTGAGGGCAGAATCACTGCATGTCCATTGCAGAACTACGCCCGCCACATTTGTTGTATGCCAAAAAAGCTCCCATGTGCATGACCCCTTAAGATGGCTACCGCAGATGTACATTTATTGTTTTTCCAAATTAAATGTAGTCATCAAACCAGTAATTGATGCACATAGTTAATCCTTTATTAAATTTCAACAGGGGTTCCAAAAGTGTTTCCAGTATTTACACAAAACTACTTACACGTTTCAAATGCCCATAAGGGCTTTAATCTTAGTTGCTGAAATAACGCGTCGGTGGTTTTGTGTATACACTGGAACTTTTACCCCTGTTGAAGATTAACTGCTGAAACGCGTCGGTGGTTTTGTGTACTGGAACTTTTACCCAGTCACACTGTTGAAAATTTGACAAATGATTTACAAATGCCATTCAAATCTATCAGTCACAGTCTGGGTTTTGCAACTCATGTTTTATTCAGGCATTTCGTCACTAACAGCACCCATTCAAAGCTTGTGAAAGCTGGAGCTCGGAGTTTATAGGGGACCAATTGCAGATCCTTCTTCCCTCCAGTTTGGAGTCCCCCACCTGTCAGGAGGTAATCCTTCCCTTCCACTCTCTACTATATCCAAAATATATATAAAAAAATATATAACTTAAAGTAACACAGAAAAACACCTTTTTTTTCTTTTACGGAGTCCAAGTCTAACTGGGCGCCCAGCACACATGGATCTCCAGCAGGTAAGTAGTCTAATAAGAGAATGAGGAATCAACAGACCAAGCCTTCAAGGCTGGGGTAAGTATGCACCTGGATTTGTGTACCAGAATCCATATATCTCTTTATTAAAGTGCAAAGCAGGCAAGCAGCAGCAAGTTAAAGAACATAATCCTTCATGTAAAGCAACAACATTTTGAGCCACTAAACAGGTTTCCTCAAGCATGGAGTACACCATTATGCTCCATTATGCATTTGAGCTTGCTGTTGACTGCTTGCCTTGCACTTTAATGAAGAGCTATATGGATTGAATATATTGATGCATATGTCCTCAGTGCAAACGGCTTTCTGCTTTACTGGAGAATTGTTTGCCTAATTTATGCCATTAGACTGTCGTTTTCCTGCACGAGGCATTTGATACGAAAAAGGCCTGGAGTGTACTTCACTCTAAGATATATTGCAAACAAAAAAAATTGGTGTGCTCAATGTCCTTGTCCAGTCCCAGCTAACATGGCACTAGTGCCACGGCACAACTCCTTCCTGTTAGCCAGCAAATGAACATCCAATGTAGAAAAAAGCTAGCTTTCCGCTGAAGATCCATGCCAAAAATGTGTTAAAGCTTAAGTTTTTTTTTTTCTAATCAGCATAAAGGGCAGTACACATTCGAAAAGATATGTCCCATATGTGCTGGTGGCTGCTTTATTAGTTGGAACCCTGCAGTGGTAATCGTCCAGTGCTTCAAGGGTTAATATGGCTGCTGGACCTGTCACTTATCAAGAGTGCAGACTATGGCTGCCATTTCTTCTCCATCCGCCATTCATAGCAGCTATATTATTATTATTATACAGTATTTATATAGCGCCAAAAGGTTTGCTCAGAGCTGTGCATTATAGTGGGGGACAGAACATGAGACAATAGAGTAACAAAACAATACACAAGGGGTTCAAGGGCCCTGCTCTTTCGAGCTTACAATCTAGGATATTATAGCTTCCATCAGTGATAAGCACTCTATGTCTCATGCTTACCCCCAACAAAGGTGGTCAGGAACTATAGCTGGCTTCTGTGTTCTTCACCTGTAGCAGTCCCCTTTCCCATAAGGCAAGCAGGCCTACCGGTACTCGATTGCCCCCAGGACTTATACACAATGCTATAGTGCCTGGCTACCATGCTGGGGCAGGGACGAACTGAGCACAGCAAACAGGTACTTGCGGTTGGCAGACAGGCAGAGGGTCCAATGACAGTCCAGGTACAAGGCAGGCAAGGTTCAAAGTGGTCAGGGTCCAATCCATAGTCAAAAGGCAGGCAGAGTTCAGAGGATAGTCAATATCCGATCCAAGGTCATAAACAAGGGAATCCAAACAGCTGAGCAAGACAGACAGGGAGCTTGAGCACATGCAACCAGTGCTATCATACGCAGGAGACTGCAGGCTTGGCTGGCTTCAATCAGGTTTGATCTCCACCCAGGTGCTGGACACATCAGTCATCTTGCAGGTGGACAGAAAGACAGTGAGAATGTATCACAATCAAAATAAATTCTGTAATGAGACCAGCAGCAGTGATGGAGCAGGAGCGCTACACTCTCCTGACACTATGAATGGAGGAGAAAGATCTTTCATATATCCACCTTTCCTCCATTCATAGAGCACTTGTCATTGATAGAAGCTATCTATGAATGGAAGAGGAGGGAGGAAAGGGCGGTCATTGTCAGCACTTTTGACAGGTACCTATGAAAGGTCCAGCAGCTGTATTAACCTCCACAGCTCCGGAAGATTACCATTAGGGAGAAGGGTAGAGTACTTTGGATTTCAACAAAGACAGCCACCAGCACAAGGGACACATCTCATTTAATGTAAATATCATTTGTGCTCAGTATAAAAAAACTGTAACTAAACTAGGGCTTTAAAGTGCTCAACGCGTTTCAGCAGCAGACACCTAATCAAAGCTACTGTTAAGGCTTCTACCGCCAAAACGCATTGAGGATTAAGACTTAATTTTAGTTACTATTTTTGTTATCTTGACCATGTGTGGGGTTTTTTTGCCTTTTTTAACAATTAACTTTTTATACTGATCTTCAGTTACTTTTTTCTATGTATGATACGTTGCCCCTGGGTTTGGGGATGGTAGCTTACATTAGGTTTTGTGGGGGGCAGTGGGGGGAACTTATGCAAATTAACCCAATTACATTGCAAACGTTGCTGGATCAGACCGTCCGGCCACCACTACTTCCCATGAACCACTTTTATAGGAAATAATTTTGGTAGTATGGACATCAAACCTTCGGTTTAACTAATTGGGCCCCAATCTGTTGGCCATGTGACTAATTGAAGAGTTTATACTGCTAGAGCTGGCCTATTCCTCAGAGAAAATGGTAGTAATGGAACCCTTGTGCACATTTCATAATCAGCTGGGAAGATGACAAGGGGGCATATGCTGTTACTGTGGTTGCGTCTTTATATGTTGCTGTACCATTGCATGCGTCTTTTTTTTTTTTTTTTTTTTTTGATACAAAGAAAGAGAAAGTGATGTATCTAAAATACAAACAGAAACAAAAAATAGCTATATATTAAGAAATTACCTACATTTTAAATATATATATATATATATATTTTTTTTTTTCCAGTGTATGTTTTGTTCGGTTTTGGTGGCACTCTGTTGATTAAATTTAGGCTGACGCAGCACCACCAAAAAAGCACTAGATTACTACTGTTGTCCTTGTGTGCTCAAATTTGCACTAGAAGAATATATTTGTGGGCATTTTGGGCAATCTTAAACATTTTATTTTTAAAAAATGATATATTTTTTTTTTCTTGACTGAAGAATTTTGGTACGAAACAAAGCACTTTAAATCCTTGAGGCCAAGCTGTCATTTACTAAGACAAGCACCATTAAAGTGTACCTTAAGCCAAACCTTTTTTTTTTTTTAGTTTTCAATTGTTGGGGGAGTTAGAACAGTTGTTGGGTTTATATTGCTCAGGAGGTTAAAGATAGGTGGGGTGGGGGCCTCTGGATCTCTTAACCCCTTTAAACACTTGGGAAAGCCCGGGGATGATGGACATGAGGGATTGGTGATCATGTGACCACTGTCACAGTGAACACATGACCAGAAGCTGGTCCTGCAAATTACTGATCTGTAGCCCCAGACCAAGAGCCATGTACGACAGCTCGCCTTCTGTGCTTTCTGCACCTAAGCACTGCCCGCCCTTTGACGCATAGGTAAGCGTTAACCCTTTCTGCACATGATTAAAAAGTCATCTTGGGCTTGAAGACAGCATAAACCCCCAAAACAGTATATATTTTCTGAAAGCAGACACCCTAGAGAATAAAAAAGTGGTAGTTCCAATTTTTGTGTCACACAATATTATTGTAAAGGTGCAAATTTCAGTAAAAAGTGAATTTTAGTTCACAAAAATGCAATAAATTACCCCATTTTTTTGGTAAAATATACAAGATGAGATTGCACTGAATAAATAGATATAGATAGAGGGTGCAGCACTAAAACAAATTTGAAATATGCTTTTCCATATATAAGTCCAATCCAAAGCTTTTATATAAGCAGTAAAAAGTCCATCAACCAAGATCCAACAGATATTCAATAGGTGCCCAGGAAACCATCAAAGGGAGAAATCCTTCACCAACCACACTGTCCCTTACCAGATGGTATTGACCCCCAAAAGGAAAGGTAAATGAGCTCTGAATGCTTCTTGGAAGCGACCACTGGACTAAATGTATTCCTTAAGGATCTTGATATTCAATATGAAGCTTACAACAGATACACCTAAATAAATATTATCCTCATAGAGGATAATCTAAGGTGGAAGGAAAAAGGAATCCTCATAGTGTAGTAAATACTAGACTGAATAGATACCCAACATGTCAAACCTTAAATTTGTGTACACCAGGAAAATGGCGACAAACATCCGTACTCTATATTTTCCATAGGGGACACAATAAAAGTCCCCATAGGTCATCAGTTCAGCGATGCGGAGGACATCTATTGGCAAAGTGATTGATCTCATTCTGGCATATGTGGTCATATGTACCAATGCTACGCAATCAACGTTTTCATGTGTAGGAGCCCATGACGCGTGCATTTGCATTCATTTGTGCGTATATATGGGTGTGGGTGGGTCTCAAACTTTTTTTTGGATGGGGATTTTATGTGCTTTGGTTAACTTTAATTTTTTACAATTGAAAAAAAAATGTTTTAGTTATCTCTTTTTTTTTTTTTTTTTTTAAAGAGAACCTGTAACCAAAAAAAATCTTTACATATCAGACTTTTTGACCCCTATGTGATGATTTTTTGGAGACAGGTTCTATTTAATAGACCCCAGATGTTTCCCCTGTGTTCCACTGGATCAAATGCAGTGCAGATTGTACTGCACTACATTCTTTACCGGTCATGCTAGCCATGAGATCTGACAGGGGGACCTGGAAGTGACATTATACATGTGGCTTCTGGGTCAGCAACAAGAAGGGGAGGAAAGCATGTCAACTCAGCTCCCTCCTCTCTACCCAGAGGCCCCCGAGCCTGCAGATGGGCAATTGGAGCCTGGGTTACATAGTGAGGAGAATGCAGAGTGATTGGGGTTCTTCACTGTACTGCTTCTTCATTCACTGTCCAGTCACAGGCTGGGGATGGGTCCATGATGACCTGAGCTCAGAGGAAGTGGTTTGGATGCTTCTAGCCATCAGACTGAGGACATCCAGTGTCAGAAAAAAAGCACTGCAGAGGGAGGGGTAATCTTTGAATTAAAGCGGAATATTGCTTTAAAGTGTTGCTAAACCCTGGACCCTGCATTCACTGTATCCGCTCTCCCCGGGCCCTGCATTCACTATATCCGCTCTCCCAGGACCCTGCATTCACTATATCCGCTCTCCAGGACCCTGCATTCACTATATCCGGTCTCCCCGGACCCTGCATTCACTATATCCGGTCTCCCCAGACCCTGCATTCACTATATTCGCTCTCCCAGGACCCTGCATTTTCTATATCCGGTCTCCCCGGACCCTGCATTGACTATATCCGGTCTCCCCGGACCCTGCATTCACTATATCCGGTCTCCCCGGACCTTGCATTCACTATATTCGCTCTCCCAGGACCCTGCATTCTCTATATCCGGTCTCCCCGAACCCTGCATTCACTAAATCCGCTCTCCCAGGACCCTGCATTCACTATATCTGGTCTCCCAGGACCCTATACTCACTATATCCGGTCTCCCAGGATCCTGCATTCACTATATCCGGTCCCCCAGGACCCTGCATTCACTATATCCGGTCTCCCCAGACCCTGCATTCACTATATTCGCTCTCCCAGGACCCTGCATTTTTTATATCCGGTCTCCCCGGACCCTGCATTGACTATATCCGGTCTCCCCGGACCCTGCATTCACTATATCCGGTCTCCCCGGACCTTGCATTCACTATATTCGCTCTCCCAGGACCCTGCATTCTCTATATCCGGTCTCCCCGAACCCTGCATTCACTAAATCCGCTCTCCCAGGACCCTGCATTCACTATATCTGGTCTCCCAGGACCCTGTACTTACTATATCCGGTCTCCCAGGATCCTGCATTCACTATATCCGGTCCCCCAGGACCCTGCATTCACTATATCCGGTCTCCCCAGACCCTGCAGTCACTATATCTGCTCTCCCCGGACCCTGCATTCACTATATCTGGTTTCCCTGGACCCTGCATTCACTATATCTGGTCTCCCACAGTACACACAACATGGAAATGCAATTATTTTAGTAAATATAAACTGCTAAATACATTTTCTCATCAGCAGTATATAGCAGTCTTGTGACTTCAGCTGAGCACTAGTTAAAGCTGGTAGGAGAAGTTTTCTTTCTGCTCTAGGAGGATGCAGAACCCCTGACCTCTGTCTGGACAGTGCTGATTGGCCCCGTGTTGATCACATGCACCCTCCCAAGAAAAAAAAAAAAAAACCCTCTCTAGCAATACACACTAAACTGAGCATGTGCAGAAGGGCTATGGTTTCAGTCTGTCTTATCAGCGTGGATATTTGAACAAGAGGAGGGGCAGAGAAGACAGGATCAAACAGCCTTTTTACACAATGCAGAGGATTAACCCCTTAGGTCCCACAGTGAGTATAACAAGCATGCTTTAGTGCATATACAGACTGATTTTACTGTTGTGGGTTTAGTAACACTTTAAATTAAATCTGTTCTAAATGTATTTTATATTATATAATTATTTTTTAAGCTTATTTTCCCTGGAGTTCTGCTTTAAAAAAAATAAAGGTTTTGGCTTTAGATATACTTTAACTACATAGGGAAGCCAAAAGAAGCAGGTGAAGTGTTAACTTGCTCTAATTAAGCTTGATTTGTAGCTTCGCGCTGTGCGTTTTCCTTACAGAGCAGACAAATTGCTCAGGATGACATTTTGCACAAAGAGTAGATTTCCTCAACAGACACAACAGGTCACTTGTGCAGTTTAGAACAGATAAGAAAATTGCAGCCTGAGAAAGTCTGGCAACGTTTGTGGAATGTGTAAGATATTCCTTTCTCAGAGCCAGCCTCAGGTCAATCCAGATACAAATTTAAAAAAAGTGACCATTGTCAACATAGAATGGGCCACTTTGGAGCAAGGTCTGCTTCATCTTCTGGTTAGCCAATCCCAGTTCTGCTTTTGTAAGGTTTGTAAGCTTTATATCAGTTGCCAAGATAGATATACTTGTGACTTTTCGGGTGATATCACAAAATACGGAACGTTAAAGATGTAAGTATGAAAACTAATTTTTGTTAATGATACAGTATGTTGATGGTGTGCTCACTTTATTCAAAAGTTACATAATAATATATATTATAATATCATATGATATTATTGTCAAAGCTGTTGTATGATCAGACTCCAAGCTAAATGCAATTAAAGATGGTACGGTTCCTGCAGTGATTAGTTTGCACTAATGCTCCATTTTTGAAGGTAGCATGAATTTTTAGATGTTTTTGAAATATATTCTGGTGGGAGGAGTTGGGTTTACAAGGGTGATGCACTAGTATAGCATATGTCATATGACCAAACATTTGTGGACCATCACATTTATAGTGCCTATTCAACCAAAAGAGAATTTGTGAGGTCAGGCACTGATGAATGAGAAGACCGATCTCATTTGGGTAGGAAAAGTCTTCTACCAATTTGAACCCCACAGAGCACCGAGGATGGGAATGCCCGAGACATAGAGAGTGACTACACTGACCCTGCATGGAGAGAGGTTTTCTCAAGCCATGCACTAGAAAGGCCACATGACCCACTCGTGCTGGGTGATCATAGCCTCAACAGTTGTAACTCTGAATTTTTTTCCTTTATTGTGTAAGAATTTTATCCTAGTTTCTAAATGTATCTACTACACTATAAGGGCTCTCCCACCTTCCTCTCTTTTTTTTTTTTCGGTGGACACTCTGAGCTTTACCGGAGACTCTTGGCCAGCTCATTCGGTTCGTCAACTGCCACAGCACTCTAGACCCTCACAGTCAGCATTCCAATTCATCTCAAAGGTGTTCAGTTGTGTTGAGGTCAGGGCTCTGTGTAGTTCCTTCACACTAAAATGGTTAAACCATATCTTTATGGAGCTGGCTTTGCGCTCAGTCTTGGCCTTCTCCGAACTCCTTGTTACCACAAGGTTGGAAAGGCAAAAGTGTCTAAAATGTGTTTGTTTGCTGTAGCATTTACTTCACTATTCTTGTAAGGCTTTCAACAAGATGTGTGTCAGTGGGAATTTGTGCCCAGGTCAGGTATTGATGTTGGACCATGCCCACAATTGGCATTCCAGTTGATCCCAAAGGTGAGTAGGCTCTGTGTAGGACACGCAGGTTCTGGGAAGGCTCTCCATGAGATTTTAGAGCATTGCACCAATTTGTGAGGTCAGGTACTGATGTTAGATGAGAAGAACTGGCTCACAATTGGCATTCCAGTTCATCTTAAAGGTTTTCAGTAGGGTTGAGGACAAGGCTTTGTGCAAGCACTTGAGTTCCTTCTCCCTAAACTCATAAAACCATCATAGAGCTGGTTTTGTCCACAGGGGCACAGCCTTGCTGGAACAGAAAAAGACGTTCCCCAAACTGTTGTCACAAGGTTGGAAGCACACAGTTGTCTTTGTATGATGTAGCATTAACAGTACCTTTCACTGGAAGAACCTGAACTCAATCTTTTGGAAGGATGGCCACATAGGTTTGGTCATTTGATAGATGTGAAGGTGTCTGCAAACTTTGGCCATATAATAGTGTATTTTTATTAGGTATAGTAAGAGTCAAGAAGGTAGCATAGATAATTCTTTAAGAACCAAAAATGTGTGCTCAACATTTACTCGTTAGCAATCCTTCAATGTTCCTTCAATGTTATGTTTGAGCCAAGGTTTCATATTTCTCATTAAAATTTGGTTGGTGATACAACAAGGGTCACCACAGATTTTCAATTGATTCAGATTGTATGGGGGCACTATTGTACTGAGTCTATGAGCCTTTGACCTTCCTAAATCATGAAAACATGTCCTCTTTGTGGACAGGACGTAGGAAACCTTCAGCAAGGTTGTTTTAATGATGCATTTTTATGCAGTTTATCAATAACACTTTGCAGAGGAATTTCATCATTTGTGGAATGTGTTTTTCTACATTGTTTTTTTTACTAGTTGTGGCTTTTCGTATGACATCAATCTTACACTGAAAGTGCATTGCTATGTCGCTGTGACCTCCAGCTCTTTGGCTGTTTAAATAGCCGATATCTTTCTCAAATCAGTAAGCTAATATTTATTGAGTATCCTGTACATATGATTGTGCAAAATGGATTTTAGTTCTCTGTTCAGCTGCATTTCTGATAGTCCCCAGGCATCACAGTCTGCCTCATTCTATGGTAGCATCATCATAAAGGGTATCTGAAGCCAAAACAAGGTTTTTATAATTTTTTTGATGAAGTGTGGAAGGGTTGGAACCTCCTTTAGGTTTTTATTGCAGTCTGTAGACACATTGGGGAGATTCACCACCTAGATTTGTACTGGTGGCCTTGGTCATGCAATGGGAATCTTTGGCATGAGAGACAAACACAACCAACTATCCCAGGGGCATAACTACAGTTCACTTGGCCCGAAAGCAAATTTTTTATGGCCTCCCCCCCCCAGTGATCCCCTGTCTCTTGGACACCTGAAAATGTCATCTAGAACAACAAAGTATGTCTAAATCAAAAGACAGGCAACTGTTAAAATAGTAAGTACGCTACTAGGGACTAGTGCAATGGATAGGGAAGAGCAGCAGTGCAGAGAATTAATCAACCAAAATTCTCCACCAAGCTTATAAGCACTTTTTCGCATCAACTAATTTTTGTAGGAGTATACAATATTGTGTTGGCATGGTTGTCCAGGCTCTCGGAAGCCAATAAACCTATTCACAGATGGGAGGATGCAAAGAAAAACTATAACTAGCAACATGATCCTGTACATCTGACATCAGCTCTTCTGAAAATCGGACATCAGACAATTTCCCTAGTGGGGCCCCCTTCCCAACCTCAAGCTCCCTGGAAGTTGTGTGAGCTGCGATGGCTACGCTACTGAACTAGCCCTTTTCTGGTAGGGACAGATTTCTGTGGTGTAAATAAAGCATACCAGTCAAAGTGCGCCATAGTCCTGCAGTTATTAATGGGCATAGGGAAAGGTAAGTGTTCCTAAACAACATGGGACACATGTTTTCACATCTTTCAGTTTTGGCTTCTTTTATGGCTTTTGGCATTCAATCACTCAAGGAAATTGGATCTGGAAGACTTCCCCTCAACCAGGAACAGATTTAACACCTAGACAGTGTTGCTGACTGCAGGTCCTGCTCTAGTTGATGCCTGAAAAAAGGTGAAACATCTACACTCAGGGCCATAAGCCTCAATATCCTCTAGCTTAGTTCTCCCTTGATCGTCACTGACACAGAAAATGATGAGAAATCCAGAACTCATTTGCCACC